GGCCTAGGGCAATTTTTAGAGGGGTTTTTAATCATATTTTAATTAGACAACATTTAAATATTTCTTTTTAACTAATTTTAATTTTGTAATTGTTATTGGTGTATTTTTAACTGATTGTCAGCCGCCCTGAGTCCGCAAGGAGAAGGGCGGGATATAAATTCAATAAATAATAATAATAATAATAAATAATAATAATAATAATTATAATGTAATACCTCTGGAGGAGGCTGGTTTATGAAACCCATTACTTTGGAAGGCACAAGATTGGGGTCAGGTGTCATAAACGTCTCTAGCGGTTTGATGATCTTGGGGCAGATATAAGCCAACTTTACTCTTGTGGGGTATTCATTTAATAGAACACCCAAGATCCACCAATCAGAGCTTTTTTGCCAGCAACAAATACTCATAACTGAGTATGAATCTGAGAATATGTTCTGAGAATCAAAATTGTATGAAGCTTGCTGTCTTTTCATATATTTTCCGCCCCACCCATTCCCAATTTTGGTTTAAACTTTCATTTCTGTACTATAAATTATTTTATTTATTTTTTATTTATTTAATTTAATTTATATGCCATTTTATTATGGTATATAAATTATGGTAGCCATTTTATTATTGTTATTGATAAATTATTGGGAATCAGAAATTCTTATCAATGAATTGAACTTGTCCCAATAGATTGTTTTTTTCTCAACAAAAACAATCCCATGGATGTGTATATTCCATATCATAATGTAAACTTATAGAGCAAAATGCATAAATTGTACAGTTCTATAAATGAGCTCTGTAGTTCACTGGCCAAATGTTTCTTATTTTCCCTGCCCAAATTTTATACTGTCAAGTGTTTTTTCTGTAAATATCACCAAGATATATGGGCTGTGATGCTTGTCTTAATTAAAATATATCAACAAATACTACGGAAGTCTCATCACTTCCAAGCTCAGTTTGGTAGGACCTTTTCTAAGGTCAGATTTTAGAAAATGAAATACCCAGAATGTCTTTTTCTTTGGATATGAGGAGGAGCTCTTTCTTTAATCTTGATAGATTGAAAAATATCTCTTAGTTGTTCACTTGTCTTTCTACCTCTTCTTTAGCATTTCTTTTCTATTGTTTTCCTGACTGTCTCACATACTGTACATACATACTTGCATACACTCATATGGTTTACCATACTTCCTCCCCTTATGTACTATTGGCCCTCTAAAATGGAATAATACTGGAAGAATTATGTATTAATTGCAGTTTGTTTACTAGACACATTGTACCTTTTTACCTTGAGCAGAAGTACAGTAGATTTGATGCACCTTTCCTGAACTAAAAATGTCCAGATATGCCTTTGATCTTCTGTTTGGGGCTTTGATAGTTGCAGTCCAACACATAGAAAAAGTACCAGACTGGAGGATGCTCCTCAGGTTAAAAAGTTATCAGACAGTCAGTATAGCTACAATTTAATTGACTGCTCAGAGTAAGAACTTGCCAATTTCATAGCATTGGTTACCAACTGCAAATAATTTTTTCCTGCCCCCAGAAGAAATATGGATGTTTGTCAAACACAGCAGACTTTGTTCCTAAGTCTTCCTGCTTCCTTGTTTTGATTAGAGTTTCTCTCTCTACTATCTTTGATCCTTTATTCTTTCTTCCCATTTGCCATCCACTTTCTTTTGTTTTACTTATACTCTTTCTCTGGAGTGGGTTGTGGATTGAGTCACACAACTCTACAATGGTACTGAGGAGACTTCCAGCAAGCTAGGCCACTGTTCTAGTCCTGCCCTAAGTTTCATCACGGCAGTCTTCCCAATCCCAATGTTTTAGCATCCTTGAAAAACTTGTAAAACCTTTTGAGCAAGCTTGTCACCTGACTTTTTGCAATGACCCACAATTCCCTGCTTCTTTCAACAAATCAGTTGGCAGACCATATTAGAAACTAACATGCAGCCCGTCTTTTCAAATGGAATGGGGAATATGCTTATTTTTTTTCTGCCCATTCCTCAAATGAGTTTTGAGCAGAGCTCATTGTTATCCCTCTGATTTATTCTCACAAAATTTCTGCATTTTAGGGTCAGGTTGAGGGACAGTAATTCGATTCACTGATTATGCCAAGTCAAAACTAAACAAAGTATTGCTTAGCATGATCTCTAATATTAGGCTTAATTGTGGGTCATGGTTTAGTGCAATGTGTGAATCTACATTCCAAATCAGATCTTTGAACCATTTAATCCAGTCTTTCCTAGCCTTACTTGAAAATGCCAGGATTTGAGCCTGTTACCTATTTCATGAAAAGCGTTGAATGTGCCCAACCACTGAGCCACAGTCCTTTTCTGGAACTGAACAAGTAATACTTTTCCTTGTGCTGGTGGAGAAAGTGCAGAATCCCCTAGCAGAGGGTTTATCTTTGGTGGGGAAAGGACTGGCTTCAAGTCACATGTGGATGCAGCCTATTCTACAAATTAAATAATTTTCTCTCTTTCTTCAGGTAAAAATCTGGTTCCAGAATAGAAGATCCAAATTTAAGAAATTGTACAAAAATGGAGAGGTCCCCTTGGAAGACAGCCCAAATAACAGTGACTCCATGGCTTGCAATTCTCCACCATCTCCCACCCTCTGGGACAATAACTCTCATAATAACCCAGCCAGCAGAAGCCAAATCCCCCAGCCACTCTCTTATAACTCTCCCCCAAGCTACTTGGAACATCACAATTCTTGGTTCCATCATCAGAACCTGAACGGGCCTCACATACAACAACAGGGACCTCCGCCCACTTCTGGCTCTATGCATCACCCATCTCCAGGGCCTCCTCCCAATCCTGGAGCGGTTTATTAATCTCCTTTCCCTCCTCAATGAAACCAGTGGAGCAGGAAAAAAGGAATGAGGGAGAGGGAGACAGAGAGGGAGAAGCAGACAGAAGGCAACAAGTTAAAACTCTTTGATGTGTTTCACAGTACACATTCCATCTCATCTCAGAAACAAGTGAACTGCAGCAGGGTTAAGACTTTGGGGGACAGGGAAGAAATGTGAAAGGGAGAGAAACTGCTTGCAGCCTATGTTGTATCTCAAATCAAATCGGTTTCATCAAGATCTACGTTACCAACTTCCTGGATGATTTATCGCTGGGCTAACTGTTTCCAATCACTGCCATCAGCTTTGTTTACAAGACATATAGTTGGGTGGCTCTCAGCATGGTTAGAGAAGAGCAAAGTGTTGCATGGCAAAGGAGAAAAGGTACCACTGATTTCCTATATCCTCCTTTTCTCTGGTTCTGTTGGATTTTTTTTTAATTTCCTGATGCCCTCCCCAAGCAGAGTGGTTTTGAGAGGTGTCAACTTCATGTCCCCTCTGAAAGACCTGTCATGGCTCTAAATACCAATCAATTATTGGCACCTGTGGCAGGAGTAGGATTGTGTTATTATTCATCCATGCAATTAGGAATGGGGAACAATGTAAGATATCCACCTCTCATTTTTATTCACGTCCTTGGAAATGCTATCCTGTTAGAAATTATAGCAATCTTTTACATAATGAAAGGGACAGGTAGATGTCACAAACTTTTAATGGATAGATTTTTGTAATGAATGTAGGGTTAAAGTCAATTTTAGTTATATAGATGTTATACAAAACTGGTCAGTATATAGTGTTAATTTATAGTAGTGCTATTGGCTAGCACAGAAAAGGGGTCAGGGAACTTGGAAAGAAACAATTCTGATCTTAGTAATGTTTGTTTTGGATTTATACTAAAAGCACTCCAGGGGGGTTATTCAAGATTAAAAAGAAAAAGAGAAAACTTTTGTGCTGGTTTTTCAGCTGGTGATAAAAGAGAAAGAAAAAAAGTGACCCCAGTTATACCAGCTTCAATTAATAGATTTCCCTTGAGTGTTTGGGGCAGATACTTCATACAGTAAAAGCAAATGAAGAATTCTAATACTCAAGGGAACAAAAGAATCTGATGCCTTTATAATTTTGGGCATACACATTGTCCTAAACCAAGGTTTTTTTTAACCATTGTTTGTTGAATAAACTCTAGCAGCCTAACTCGCTTAACATTAAATCACAAGTTATGGTTAACAAAACAGAATTCCTGGCTTCATTCAACATGCTAAACCAGAACCTAACATATTACAGTAGTTGGGCTCACACAGAGTACAAAGACATGGCATAACCATGTTTTGCCCAATTAACCTTAGTCATGGATTCATGCAAAATGGTAAATGATAAACCAAAGTTTACAAACCACTGTAGCTGTATGACAATCTAAGTTAAAATCAACCAAAACACAAACCTTAGCACAAGGTATAAATTCTGTAAATATGACTTAGCCAAATATGTGAACAATATTTGAAGCTCTCCACTCAACTAGGGTAACTCATAAGTTACATTGTAGAAATGCTAATTATAGAGTACACAGAATTGGGACATCAAAGGTATGGATTCTCTGCTCCATGCCAACTACAGGAAACTAGTTTGGCAAAGGTTGTATCAAGGAATGAAGAGGCCATGGAGAGAAAGAAAAAGAGTGCCGGTCATCATAGGTAATTCCAGGTGTACAATAGAGTAAGGCTGCATATTCTTTACTCCATTTCTTGGATTTGAGCTGACTGAAGTTAATGCAATTTGCTTTCATGTAAGCATAGATAGGATTGCACTGTAGGAACCCTGATTTTCACTTCAGTGAAATGTAAACTCTGACGAAGAGGGGGAATCACTCCAAAGTTCCTTTGCTGTCTTAGTGTCTGCTTATTCCAGCTTCAAAAATGACTTACTTCGGGCTGGAATTTAGAATTACTCCAAGAATCAAAATNTAATTTGCGGGGGGTGGGGGGTGGGGGTGGGGGGTGGGTGTTGAAAAGGTTGCAGAAGAAATGCTTTATTTAAAAGTTAGGGAGATATTTAAAATATTTCAGAATAATTTATTTTTTAAAAAAATCAAGTGAAAGTAGTGTGTTCTACTTAAGTCATTTTAAGCTGTTGTCAAAGAGGAAAGCTTATTTTTAAAGCAAAAGCAAGAACAAATTCATCTTGGATATTTTTTAAGTAAACAAACTGTGTGGATTTTTTAAGAAAAAGAAGGGCTGCAATTTGAATAAGCATTTTCTTACGTTGTACAGTGTCAAGGTTGATGTTTATGTTGCCCTGTATAATAAATAAGGAGAGACTGGTGAGGGTAATGTACAATACATATGGCTAATTTGTATAAAGCTTATTTTAAATTAAAAAAAACATTTTTCTTTTTTTAAATCTTAGGGAAATGTAAAGAATCATCTCACTGAGATGAAAACTTTGCTTGAGCTTCCTTTCTGCTTGGTAGCAAACAGAACCTTTCTGTATAATGTTAATAAAATATGTTTGATAAGACTATTTTTATTTAAGCAGCTGTGGTTGAGAAGTATGGATTTTGTAAATTTAGATCCCGAAACATTTTTTTCTTCCTTGAAGTTCTTCTCATTTGAGGATACTGTGATCATCTGTGCCAGCTTGCATAAAATATTTTAACACATGCCATATATGAGTCTATAGTGGATTCTATGAGAGAAGATATGGAAACATGATAATTCGCATAGTCATTTCCAAATGATTTGCTTGATGTCCTTAACCTGATATTGTATAGATCTGTTGGTCTACAAATCCCAGAATTTCCAAATAGAATTTAGGGAGTTAGCACATCTGGACACTAACAGTTGGGAAAGGTGACTTTACTATTCATCATAACAGTATCAGAAATGTAACCATAATCTTTTACCTGCAGGGACACATCAGCAATGTCGACAGAGGTGGTATGAATTCCAAATGCCAGGTCCTGGCCTTAAGATATCCAGTGTTTAGTTGACATTATGAAACTCACTCTGTCTTGTGTAGACAGTAGTGTTGAAGACGCATAATAAAAATGTGATCTCAACCATTCTTTTAAGATACATTTGAGAAAAAATATGAATGGAGAAAAGTTTACCTGAGTTGGATAATCAAAAAGGTTTCCTGAAAAGGTAGAGAGACAGGATGAATCCACTTCTTTCAGATCGGTTTTGAACAGGCAAGTGCACTACACATTTGTTTTTCCTAGAAGCATTTGTAGCCTTCTAGAACTCATAAGATTTAAAGCAGACAAAAATATTTCAAATGAAGAAACACATCCATGGCTGTTGTTGGGGCTCTGACAATCTAACAGACCCTCTTGCTTTCCTTGGATCTTTATTTTTTAAAATTATTTAGCTACAGAAGGACTCAGCATTTGATTCAACTTTGGGAGTAGAGTATTGCAAAAGTAAAACATGAACATTGATGGGACACAACAAGAGACTGACTGGTTTCACTGAAAGCCCTGGTCAGGTTTCCATGTTGAACCCCAAGAAAGTTCTTGAGTAAGTTCTCCAGGGCTCCTCAAGATCTTTGGCAGAGTAATTATTACTATAAAGAAAAGGAGACATATCAGATTCTACAGCCCTGTTGGAGAGTAAAATGAATGAACCTGAAGAATGGTTGAAAAAATGGAGGTGACTGTGCAACTATGACCTGAAAACATTGAGAAGCACCAGCAATGTACTGTATGTTTGTAGAAAAAGACATAACTGACTGTTAACAACCCCTAGGGCAGGGCTTTTCAACCTTTTCACAGATTGTACCACTTTTAGGACATGACAATATTCAAGTACCACCAGTGCTTAGCAAGGTGTCAAAAACTTGATGACTGAAAAAAAAGTCACAGCATTTTGGGTTTTACTGATTAGATTCATTTGTTGTTATAGAAATGGCTAGTTTATACTATTATGGAAAAGTAAAAAGTTGAGGTTCGATGTTAATGCTTCATTCTACTGCAACAAAGGAAGTCGGAAGTCAATACTTTTTCTTTTTCCCTTCTCCCCCTCACTTTTTTCCCCTTCTTCTTCCCCAATGTGTCCTATTATTTGCTTTTGTATTTTTGTATTTTATTCCTTAATCTAATAGAGGTGGCAACAGGCAGGCAGCGGTGGGCAGAGGCTTCCAACTTTGACCCCTCCCCCCTGTCGTTGCCTCTTCGTGGCTCTCAGCTCACCTCTCCCAGACCCGCACACATGTTTGTGTGTGTGTGCGCACGGGGGTGTGTGTCTCACCCCTTGCAGCCCCACGCGCTCAACAGAGACCTTCTGTGATGGCAGGCTGCAAACTAATGAAAGCTGTTTTTTTGGAGTACTTGTTTCTTTTTGTCAATGTGCTGCCAATTGCATCACGCCCTGCCCCCCTCAGGTCCCGCCCTCAGCCCCGTGGAAGGCTGCAAGAAGCTCCCATCGCAGCTTCTCTTATCTCTCCCATTCTTTTCCTCCCCAATGTCACAGCATGGGGCTGCAAGGAGTGAGACCCCCCCACACATGCACGCACACACACACACACACACACACAAACAAACACATGCACAGGTCTGGGACAGGTAAGTTGAGAGCCACGCAGAGGCCCTTCAGGCACAGAGGCAATGACAGGGGGGAGGGGTCAAAATGGGAAGCCTCCTGCCCAGAGCCTCAGGAAGCTTAAAAAAATAAACCTGTGAAGCGCTCAGAACGCAGTCCCCAGGGACACCAGACCCCGCACGCTTGCCGCCTCCTGTGCACGCGCCCAGAGGGCAGGGTGAGGGCAGGGCTGAGGCGGCCTGTCGCTGGTTCCAGGGCTGCCCTGTGGTTCTAAGGCTGAGCACATTCTGGCTTTGATGGTAGCTACGAGGTTGTAAATCAGCACCCGGTCAGCCTGGGCTTGCCTCTTTTCTTTCTGAGCTCCAAGGAACATATCTTCAAGCTCTCTTACCTTAACTGGTTTTTTTTTTTAAAAAAGATAGTTTTTATCTCAAAATGAAGGAGAAGCTATCA